TTTAGGCTTTTTTATCGGACTTTTGTTTTTGCACTGGTATCTTTTTTACGCCAATAAAGATACCAAAAGCCTGAGAAAAACAGCCTAAAAACGCTCCAAAAATAAGCCAAAACCCACAGCATTCAATACTGTGTAAGTGAACTGTTGGAGTGAGTTTCAGCTGTGACTGAACCTGTCCGTGGTGCAGCCAGTGAATGAAGTTCAACGACCCCCAAATCAAAACCAGCCCTTCGTATTCCCCAGTAATACCAGATTAATGGCACGTATTTACACAGGTTTCTATTATTAGAGAAAAATCCTTGGCAAGATGTACTCCCTTGTAGAGCAGCATGTAGGGTGGACTACAGGTATTTAGGGGGGGGGCGGGTCAAATGTGTGTTTTAAAGGCCAATGTTGTGGTTCTTTTTCTTTCAACTTTGTTGTAAACGTGTTCTGTTTATGATCCGTCTTGGTCAGGGCCCAGAAAGGCGGGTTTTATACTCTATATAACCTCCTTGGTATCTGAATATCTGAAATTCCCGGTTAAACATTAATACGCTAGGCGACGAGTAAGAGGGAAAATTGCTCATTCACTGACAGCGGAACACTTACAGCTGTGTACACGTTGTTACCGCAGTACCTTTCTACAGAAACCATCAGGATTCATGCAAAGCACAACGGATGCTAGTATGCCCATCCCCCTACAAACACTAGCCTCCGTAGCATGCCAAAAACTGGGGGTTTTGGGGGTCTTCAGGGTCTCTGGGATCTTTTAGGTGCTATTTTCTGATTGCATATAGACAACATAGCCGGCCTGGTTGAATTACCCCCATTTTTTATAACTGGGCTAATCAGAAAACAGCCGAAGACCACCAAACCCCCAGTTCTATAAGCCTGCTACGGAGGCTACACACACACACACACACACACACACACACACACACACACACACACACACACACACACACACACACACACACACACACACACACACACACACACACACACACACACACCAACACACACACACACACACATTTTACTGTTTTTGAACCCGCGTTGTTATTTTAGTCTCGTGGAGAAAACTTGCAGGTCACCGACCACCAAAGACATGAGGAATATACGATGAACTGTCTTGCGAGTTTGAAATTCGGCGATCTTCTGGCAATATTTCAGCCGAATTCGAAGTTTAACGGCGCATTTACTGAAAGTGGACATCTTACCGCCATTGTCGTTGCGCAAATCTTAAAGTTTGCTCGTATGAGACGTCATGTTTAGATTTACATGGTATTTACTGAGGGTGTGTGAGTCGTGTGTGCACAGGCCTGGTATAATCCCTCGTACTGTCAACTTACTTCTAGTTACAGCAGGAAGCTACCACTATCAAAGGCAGTTCACGCGCGAGCGAGTCAACATGCTTGAACGGACAAAGCAATTATTTGTTAAAGGATTATGAATGTGTCATTCATGTTTTCAGTGTAAATTGCGGCAAAGCTACTGTAGAGGTTGAGGTGTGGAGGGGACGCCGAGAGATAGCCTTACACCTGTGTACACCTTCGGTCAGACGTGACAAGACCTCTGGCAACTTAAAATAGCTCTCTTTGTGTCTGACGGGTCCCAGAAACACAGCGGACGTTAATTGTGATGTCAACAACAAGTCAAACAGAATTTGAGCACTCCGAACTGGCAGTCCTTTGAGCCCCTAGGGCTAGTTAGTCTACACGTCACTACTGACAGCTTATTTTGGTAACAGACACGGCTTGTTACAGTGTCGCGTTAGACACGCGCCGTTTCCAGACGCATTTGTCAAGCTTTTGAAGTAGAGAAAAACGGTGTGACAGGTTGTATAAACTTAACAGGTGGGTAGGGATGCATGGAGGTGATAGAAGCTCCTTGCATGGAGTAAGGAGAGAGAGAAAGAGGAGCAGAGAGAAGAAAAGAGAAAGACAGATCATGTGGAAAGAGAAAGACAAAGAGCGAAAGAGAGAAAGGGAGAGAGCCGAGTATAATAGAATCATTGGTTTAAAGTCACCGAGCCGTATGTACGCACGTGTGTACGACTATAGAGTTACAAACTGACGTCGTCTCCCAATTCGTCTCTAAAAATAAACGGCCGTGTGAGAAAATAAAAGCTGATTCTATTCCGTTCAAATAAAGGCAGTATCGAAGACACATAAAGTGATCTCCGTGTGACTTCCGCCTCTCGTTAACCAGATCATCAGGACAGGTCCCAGCATAATGGTCACTTCTCAGCTCTCCTGTACTCGACTGGCGATCTTGGAAAGTGATTGTTTGAACAGGCATGTAACACAACCGCTCCTTTGTAAAACCACCTTAAAAGGACAGTCGCACGGGCACTTGTTTTACAAAGTGGGCGGCACTACGTCAGCGTGTCTTTGTGCGCCGGTCAACAAAGCGGGGCTGAGGGGCATCCTTAGTGACGGAAGTAAACAGTTTAAGGTAACTTGCTGATTGTAATAGGATTTCCTTGTGTTAATTAAAGCATGAGCGCTAACCCTTTGTATGGAGATCTACTAGAGATAAATGAAGCACGCGTGGTATTTTGGAACTAGCTTTTACTATGATAGTAAAATTTCTTGATGTATATATATATACGAGAACACAAAAAAGCGAAGTACATTTCATGTAAGGTCAACTCTCATAATTCCACCCGGTACCTAGCAAACCACCACATTAAAAACGGTGTTAAAATGTCCTGAACACCTTGGTATTTGGAATGTGCATACATTTGGGATCATACTGATGCTGATTCACATTTTTCGTTTAATGTGGTGGTCTTGGGGTACCCAGCGAACTGAGAAAGCTGTCGTTTACTTTTACGTTTACATAGCAAAAATAAGATAACTCATATTAGACCGACTGTCTCTGTTCACTGATGGGCATTTCCCTTTTCTTCTCATTTCCATAAAAAGAAGACAGAGTCCTTATGTTTTAGAATCCATGCTTATGACAAAAAATGGAATGTTTATACAAACGTATACGTGACGTTTGTCTCTGTTCACTGAACCGTGAGTCCTAATATAAGTTTAGACACGCTTGCTTGTGCACAAAGGGTATATGTGTTTCAAGTATGACAACGTCCCTTTTGACTCTGTTCATTGATCGGCATCTTGGCTTTTCCTTCTGATTTTCATAAAAAGAGGACATGTTTTTCTACGCTTATTACGCCAATAAAGGAATATCTATGCCAATAACGTTACGTGCCGTTTGCCGTTCGTGCTTTTCCCTGATCGACATCTCCCTTTTCTTCTCATTTCCATAAAAACACGACAAAATGCTGACTAACGGACTGGCCTAGTTTACCGTGCTGGTACTCACGCAATCCACGGTCCAGATTTCACAACTTTCACTCACTCAGTCTTCCCAACTTCCTATACGTCAACATCGAACAACAACAGAACTGGCTGAGTCCGGATTCAGATGGGTACGAGGATGACTGGAGGATGCTGAGTTGCCAGCGGTAATGTGAAAATTGGGAAAAAAATGTCTTCCGTTGACGTAAGAAACTGTTTTTAACGCCAGGATGGGTGTATAGGACCACCCTGTGGCTATATCACACTCACACGCCCTTTCCGACTACTTTCCCTCTCAGAAGGTAGTTCCCATGTGTGTCTTCTTATTTCCTTATCATCCTTATTTCCCGGTAAGTTCCGGTGTTCGTGAGTCATACACGTCAAGAGATGAAGGGGAATTCAAAGAAGCGCAAGCTACTATCTTCTAGAATTGGAATGTCAAAGATTTCTTTTATTTTGTGTTAAACGAAAATCATTTATGGTGCGTGTAAAGGCAAAGCTGAAAAGTTTGGCTGATGGATGCTGTCTTGCCACCGAAATGGATCTGCTTGGAGATTCTGTCACCCTCTCTGACACACGCTTACAAACTTAACCCCAGTGAACCGTGAAATCGTCGATAATGAAATTACTTCCTCTCACTTCCGGCTTCCCTGTCTGTGGACATCCGGTGACGTGACGGTTCATTCAGGCGGGGGAAACCCCCTCCAACCCCGGCACTCAATCTTTGGCCCGTACGGAGTTCCCATGGGTATCAATAGTTTACTCAATCCCTGCTCTGATTGTGAAACCTAGATAGGCTGTTGACACCTATGTTTACATAGTCGCCGCACCTCAAACAATAGTGAGCCTACACGTGGGTGGAAATGTTTCGAACAGGGCATTGATGGTTTCTTTCTAAAACTGGACCGCTGACGCTTGGTTTTTTCTGTATTCACTTGATTCTATGGGAGAAGCCGCAATACAATAGTCTGCTCCCGTGGCGCATGCAGTTTTCCATTGACCCTAAGCGCAGAGGGTTACTCCTGATTTAGTGGTGTTCTATTGACTTACCAGCGCTTTAAAATGCTGCAGCCGTTAAGTGAAGTACGGGAACCAAATAAGGAGCTGTTTGCCGATACAAGCCCCCTGTATAGTAATCGCTACATAATGGCTACATTGATTAACACATAATTGTCATAATTGAGGTCCTGAGTAACTCACCCGGTGTCTAGTCTATTGTCTGAAACTCAAACACTTGGAAAAAGTCTTTTCCGTGAATCAACGATGATTACGCCTTTAGTCAGAGTTTGGAACAACTACTCTTGTTTACCAAACAAACACTTGCGCAAACTCTTGAAAAACTAAGACGCTAGAAATATGCAGAAACGTCTTTCAATAGTGACGCCTAAACAAACTCGACATCTGGAATGCCTCCGACGGTGTGTGTAACCTAATTCCTCGGCACACGTAAAGCGACAAGAAGGGGGATTTGGCGAAGTTACTTCAGCTTGTCCAAGCCCCTAGGAGACTGTTTGGATGCAAACCAGGGGTATTTCCCATGCTGGTACATCTTACAATGCCCCTCTTTTACGAGAAAACGTGTGGAATCGGGCTGAGCTATAATTCCTGTCGTATGTTTCATCCCAGGCCCCGCCCCCGGATCTGTGGCGAGTGGAACGATCCTACCCAAGACTTCGCCGGAAGCCCCTTCCGGGTTGTCTGGTCGGGCAGTGACGTAATGCCTTACTACGTAAGTGTATGTTGTAAGCTTTTCGCGGCCACATCACTTGGGGGTTTGTTCTATTCATAGAGCTCGAGGATAAAAAGGGGCATCATGGGCCGATTTCTGACACAACCTGACTGGGACAACCAGGGAACGACAATTAACACCACGCTACCGTCCAGGCAGCTACCACCAGCTATCCATCTCACGGCGCAAACCTGCTGCAACACCGAAGAACCAACAAGATGATGAGCACCTCGTCCAGCAACTTTTTCTCGTCAAGCTGTAAGTTTTATGGCGACTTGTTTTCTCTCCCATTTCTTAATGTTAGACTGGCGTGTGGCACGAGTAGATCACAGTACTTACAGTACCTGTATAATAGTGTCAAGGACGCACTGACATGGTGGTGGTACAGTATATCAGTCTATAGGTATAAACGACAGACAAGTTTTCAGAAAATGGGCCTAATCCTTATGTAATTCTGCCAAAGAAGCAGGACCTGTCTTTCCAGACAATAGGTCTTTCTTGACGTGCCTAACTACCGCTAACAAGGCAGCTGAAGGAAAAGTGATATCCGCCAAGGCTTCCAGCTCTGGTCTCGCCAGGCGCACCTGCTGCTGAGGATTCTGTACCCTACAGATGTCTTTACCATTAGAGGATGTTTAGATACCCTCTTTATATCTCTCACCACGTGGTGCGCTCTCAACTTGACGTTTCTTGACCGTGACTCTAAATGTGTTTTTCTTTAAATCTTTTCTCGGCAGATTTTGGAGCGATGAGGATATGCATCGTGCTGCTAGTCCTGGGGTTGGCGGGGACCCGGGCGACCCCCATCCCGGCCACCACCCCCGCCTCCTCCGCCGACTTCCCTCAGGAAAGCCCCTTCGACGTCCTCATGAACGACCGGAGCATCGCCGACAGGCTGTACAGAAAAGCGGACGGAGCCTACGAAACTTTCGTAAGTATTATACTGAGTTGTATTTCATCATTGTATTATACAGACATGTAAAGGTGTTTCTCTCCGGAAATCTATCTCGCTAGATCGCTTCGGGTGCTTGCTTAACGCTCTCCCACGTGTTGGTCTTACTTAAATCGGCTCCTGCATCACTAAACAAACTCTCATCTGTGTAGTTCCCTAGTTTCGAGGCTCAGCGCACATCCAGTGCGTCTCACATGTTACATCTATGCCTGCTTGAGAGAATTCGAGAGTCTTGCAACGCAAGAGCCCTTCCAAGAAGCCATTACGTACACGCCAGAGGCGGATTCTGATTGGATAATCGTTTGCTAGAGCTTAGTGACGTAGAAGTAACCTTTGGTCCTACATGGACGTCGCAGAAAAGAAGTAGCCCAGATCGCCTTACCGAAGTTTTACGTGTCTAAAACTCTCCCGTTTTTACCTCGCTTTGCAGATCCAGGACGAGTTTTCTGGCAGCCACGGGTACTGTGCTGAGCAGATCACATGGGACGAGCTTATAAATGTGAGAATGACACCACTGGAGTGGAGAAACCTGGGGGTAAGCACAATTATATACTTCTTGTAATTCCACATTCTTGTAGCAGTATAGCCAGGGTCGGCGACCCCATGATGTGGAACATATTAATTATCACTGGATAAAGGATGACCTGTAGACGTGACTACAATAGCGATCAGATAGCCTAGATGTCAGACCGTTTCCAGGGTCTTCACGGGTCAGCTCCTGGGCTCCAGATCCAGCAAAACTTCCGCCATAGCCTCAGTGGCTAGATTAGCGACTGTGGCAAAATATCCATATCCCCGGGAGGCATATCGGCCCTACAACCGAGGAGCTGGCCTGTGTAGCGCCCCTGGATACAGCCTGGCATCCAGGCTAGTTTACGCATGATCGAATGAGTGCCTGCACTGTGTCAAGGTAGCGCAGCCAGCGGTAACAGAATCCAAATGTGTCGGTCGGCACGCACAGTTCCGGCCCTTCGCCGCACCAGAGATTATACACAGGAAACTTTCAGCGTTCGGCCCGACTTCCGACCCCTGATAAGTACTAAAACCTCACCCGACGTGAGAACCTCTTTGAAAGCGCGAAAGAAAAATATTTCAACAGCTCAGTTCGACCACTTCCCACCGATCGAATCGATAGGAATATTTAAAGAACCCCAAGGACAACTTCCTTAATGGCTGGTGGATTGTTGTCACTACTAAGATATACAAGATAAGGTTTAAGCATGTGGGTTAGGTTAGTATACATCGTGCGTAAAGCAAGAGAGACGATTTTGGAGATGTATATGATAGTCCTGGCCTAAACAAAAACCAATGCCTACTTACTCACTTATCATTTACCTGCATATACTGTTATATATTTGATACATATTATATGATTTAGTTATAATACGGCTTACTTTAGTCTACCTTATTACTCTTATGCTTTGCATTTCTGTATTTGTGACTACATGTATATATTTTTGTAACGATGACGACACAAACATAAGCATTGTAGCTTGAGTATGTCGTCATCCTGTCTTGTTACTAAATGTTATAATAAATAAAATTTAAAAAAACCAACTGTTCGATTGCAACGCATTATTTCATTTCTACGCATGCCTAACTGATTTCTTTTCTGTCCGGTACAGGATGAGGAACGTATGCAGCGCATGCGCAGCGACCTGCAGATATTCGGCCTGTATTTGGAAGAGGTCCGGCTGGACGAACTGGACAAGGACGGACACACAGACACCGCCCAGAAGGTCGCGGAGACCATTCACCAACTCGACACACTGATGACGGCTATAGACGTGACGGTAAGGATGGATTTTCTATTTCTTCGAGTCACTCTGAAAGTTAGTATTGCAGGCGGTAGCCCCTACCAAGTTTCAGAAACGGATATAAAGAGTAGAAATTTCCCAAGTAGACAGGTAACACACCAGGGGAGTTGGTCCGACTAGAGTTTGCCGTATAAATGGTACAAAAAGGAGTACAGTCCGTCGTGAATTAGTCCAGTCGATCTTTACAGTCTTTCGCTTCTGGGCAATTTCTATTTCTAAACCTCTGTATTTTAATCTATCAAACCATACATTTTTGATAATTCGTTCTCTTTAAATGTAGTTTTCTTGATAAAGGTAAAACAACGTATGCTTATTGTATTTTCTTCTCTTCTTTTCCTCAGAACAATGTACTGGGTTTCTCCTCTCCAACCGACACCGCCGAAATCCAAAACGTCAACTTTCGGGACCCTTTCAGCGAGTTCGCGCGCTCCATCCGGGACTGCGTGGTGCTGCGAGACTTCAGGGTCCTGGTCCAGAGAGTGCACCGAGACTTCACACTGCTCAGCCAAAAGTACCAATAGAATTTCTCCTAGAAATCACGCGATTTTCACGTGGATTTCTCATAGAAATCACGTGGGCGTCACGTGACACGACGTATGCTTCGAAAGCATTAAACTAGTCATTCCGTTCTTTCTATTTATGGAATCCGGTAAGGATTCTTAAAAGTTGGCTCAATATATGAGCTAGTATGCTTGAATTATTGTTGGAAACATCACATGGGTCCAAAACTAGCTTGCTAACGTATTGTGTCAACTTTCAAGTGCAATATTACTTAAATATGTGGATGATATCCAGTGAAAAAATATTTCTAGAACCTTCGTTGAACATATAGAATTTTGAAATGTTTAATTTATATATGAGACATGCAATCTCGTAATAATGTGAGAATATTCTGACAAGTTTTGACAACTTGATAACTTATTTATTTATTTATTTATTTTACTTGTGTGATCTTTTTATAACTTAAGGTGAGCTATGTATTGGTGACTGGGGACCACAGTACCTTTCTGTTTCTTAATTTATTTTGACTTATTTATTGTTCTTTACATTCCATTGTTGACAATGCAGCATGACTTATACTTGTTGTTATATTGTGTGATATTTGTCATTTGTACTCAAAGAGTTCTTATTTATTTATTTATATACTTATTTGCTAGTTTGTATTTATTATCGAGACGATATCAAACGAAAGATTTAGTCTATTTATGAAGATATCTGGATATGAATGATATCTATTTATTTATTTATTGACAAATATGCTGCTATCGCGAGAGTAGTTTGACGAATAAAGTTGAAGACGTTATTTGTACATTTTGTCCCGTGCTTGTTTTTTCCCGCTCCCACCCAGTGTCGGAGAGAAAAAAAAATTAAGAAAAAGGGTTCCAAAAGCTTCATGGATTTAGATACTAGTAAATCAATTGAACAAAAAAATATGTTGAGCAATAAATGAATGAAACAATGTAGTAAGAACACAGTACAATCAACAATTTGCCGTAACTAGGAAGATCATGCATGGATATGAGTTAATGTAACGTTAAGACTTCAACGATATTTTGGGCGGTCACTTTCTAATTTTTTTGTCGGAACTGTAACGTTAACGTTAGTAGTTCCCCCCGCCCAGCTTAACTGGCTACCCGATGGGACATTTCCGCTTGTAGACTGTTGTGCTTATAAGAGTTTTGCATGAGTTTCATTAGCCCATCACGAAATCAAAATTCTCGTCGCACAAAACATAAGATCACGTAATGTTATGGAGAGCCCAGTTGGAGTCGGCGGGAAAGAGTAATCTCCAAGCAGATGTTTCGGTGGCTGCAAAACAGTATCAAATTGGCCAGACAGTATCAAATTGGCCAGACAGTATCAA